GCGTGAAGTGTCTGTGGGATACAATCCAGGAAGCAGGGCCTTGACAACCCTCGTGAAGAGCTTGGGTTACTGCATGGACAATGTGACACATCATTTACTTTTACTGCTCAGATCTGGGGGATGCTGTGCTCTGGGGTCTGAGACTCTGATGGAGCTCTGCAGCTCGTAGAAACAGCAGGCATTATTATGTATAGCTTTCAGAAACCCCTTCCAATCAGGCTCACCCTTTCTGCCAGTTAGAGGGTAAACTCCATGTTTCTCAGCAGTCAGGTTGAGAGAGCAAAAAAAATAGGGATGAAGACAAACTGAATTCTAGCTACTAATCTCTAAGATGCAGTATATAAATATGCCATATTCACTCTCTTTCATTTGAATCTGCCTTCCTGGGAAGAAACCATATGTCATAAAAAAATTTATAGTTTCTTTTAGATTAATCTTCAGTAGGAAGCCCAAAAATATTAAATCTCAGTGCTCTCACATTTTTCTCCTCCCCTCATAAACAATTCGATTCCATTTGAATTAATATTTATTGAGTGCTGACACAATGCCTGGCAATATACTGGATGCTGTAATAGAACTGCTGCATATAAGGGATAATACCCATGTCCTACTTTAAGAAAACAGTCTATTTTATGCAAGACAAAAGGAACAATATAACAGTAACAACCCATGCACCACAAGATAGGATCACAGGTTACTTAATTCTGTCACCGTTTGTTAGCCATCTACCATATTCAAGGAAACCAATATGTCCTAAACCAAATTTGAGGAGGCTATGTTGATGAAGACCAGAAAAAAGAATATAGATTTTGTTTGAATAAGAGAGTTGCATCATGTGTAGAGAAACAGATTTGTGCTATGCCTCATGTATGAATAAATGGGGCTGTTCCTCTCAGTCAGACAGAGGTGAATAGATCTTCCTCTGTTGGTTTATCTGAAGTGTTCCTTTGTTTTTGGTTAAATGATCTAAGAGGACTTTTAGACATTGCTTTATTATGCCAAATTATGCTGCCCAAACTAGCCCAGAATTAGGTAAAATTTGGTTCGGCTGGTTTTCCAAAAACTCCAGTAGATAACAATACAGGCTCTGTCATTGCCTGGATTCAAATCTTGACTCCAACATTTACTGGGTTATTATATGTCTTTGTCCTTCAGTTTCACCATCTACAGTATCTCCATCTACTATTGGAGATAATCACTATATTTACATCATGTCAATGTGGAGAGTATGAAATAAAATAATACCTGTAAAAACCTTAGTCTGGGACTGGCTTATAGTGTTCAATGAATGTTAGCTGTTTTTTCTCCTGTAATAATGTGGAAGAAATTAAGATACACATTCCCAAAAGAATATAGAACTATTCTCGAGCTTTTTTGTCATCAAGTCTATAAACAGTAGATAGACAGATAGATGGATAGATCATGGATAAGCAGACAGATGACTGTAGTGACAGAGAGATAAATGAACACAGATTGAGTTCTCTGGGAAAGATTATAAAAATATGTGCATACAGGAACTTTCTTCGGAGGGCTCATGGGATCAAATTCCTTATTCCTATAACTTCCAGAGTTTTGCAAGCTGATAACCTGTAACCAAATCCCTCTTTAGGGAATGCTCTTGGCTAAAGAAAGATACCTCACCCAAGGCCATGACCCCTTTACATGAGCAGCCTGAATCCAGTGATTGATGTAGGAGGACAAAGACCCAGTCTTTTCTCCCTCAGTTTGAGCCAACTCTGAGGAGTTAGCCCAGATCCAGAACATCCCATAAAACAGATGAGGCCAACTGCAACCTGCTGCTGCCCAGTCCTGCTTTCTTCTCTTCCTCGGAGGTGTTGATGTTGAGTGTGTAATCAAAGGTCATGATTTAATGAAACTCATAAGATTTACTACTTCTTAAGAAAAACTAGCTTCTTTTTCTTTCTGTGAGTGCCTGTGTCAGAGAAGAATACGAGAGTACTAGTGTAGTTTGGTTTGGTGCTACTGACTTGATTCCTGATGAGGCTTCTGCAGTTTTACCCATCAGCGTTTGACACCATTTGTGCAAGTATCAACCTAGTGAAAAAGGGAAAAACGGGTATTTAGTGCTATTGTGAAAGTAATTTGACCTCATGGACCCCCCGGAATGTCTTGGCCAATGGTTTAGAAGTAAATATTATTCATTTATACTCCTATGAAAGAACATGAAGAAAGTAGTTTCGATTGTTTTAATATACCAAAATCTTACTTTTTAAATGATACCACCTATCATTGTTAGAACCACTATTACCATAGTGGTTGACATGAAAGCAGTTAATCCAAATCTTCACATGTTGGTGACAAAAATATTTTTAAGATTAATTTTAAAAATAACTTGCATAATAATCAAAAAATAGAAGTAATTCAAATATCCTTTTGTGATGAATACACAAAAGGAAGAGAAATTATCTAGCAATAAAAAGAATAAATTACTGATACAGGCTATGAGGTGGATGAACCTTGAAAACACACTAGGTGAAAGAAGACAGTCACAAAAGACCACATACCGTATGATTTCAATCAAGAGGTATCCAGAATAGGCAAATATAGAGCTAGAAAGTAGATTACTGGTTGCCCAGAGCGGTGGGAGGAGTTAGGGGAAATGAGGACTTATTGCTAGTAAATATGGACCTTTTCAAAGGGGATTGAGAAAGTTCTAGAATTGATTTTGGTGATAGTGGTACAACTCTGTGAATAAGGTAAAAACTGAATTGTATACTTTAGAAGATACATTGTATGGAACATGAATTATATCTCAATAAAAGTATTAAAATGCAAATTGGTGATTTGTGACACACTCAGCAAGATAGAACATTAAATTTCAACCTAGTCTTAATAACTATTTTTCTTTATATATGTGGAAGCATATGTTAAGTGATTTTTCAGGAAAGGAGGAGAATTTCCTGACTCATTAAAATTGCAAAAAATATATAGTAACAGTAATAACAAGAACATATGAAATAGTAACTATTATTAAATGAAGTAAGGAGCTGTGCTGTGTGTTTTATATGTGATTCTCCCTGCAATTCTGAGTTAGATGACTCTCTTCCTATTGTGTAATAAGGAAACAGACACTTGCTTTCAGGTGCTCCATTAACATTCCCTACTACTTTAAAATTCTGTTTGACAAGAATTATGATGGGGGGCAACTCCATTTCTGAATAGGTAAAGGAACCAACTTTTAAACTTAAATAGTGTACTTCATGCTAGGCTGAAAGAACTTATGCTTTCAGTTCCATTCAGAGGTTTCAAGATTCCTAAGGGGAAAGTGGTAGGCAGTGTACATGACAGCAGAGGCAGATTTCATCTAATAGTGTACTGTCTAAGAAGAGGGATTCGAAGCATAAAGAGCTAATAACACCAAAGATTTTCTTTGCTAAGTTATCCTTTATAAATTAATTATACAGAAGAGCCTGCTTGAATGGATATTCTTGGTGTAAGAGTAATTTTTTTTTTTTTTGGTTTTTTGGTTTTTTTTTGAGACGGAGTTTCGCTCTTGTTACCCAGGCTAGAGTGCAAGTCACAATCTCCACTCACGGCAACCTCCACCTCCTGGGTTCAGGCAATTCTCCTGCCTCAGCCTCCTGAGTAGCTGGGATTACAGGCACGTGCCACCATTCCCAGCTAATTTTTTGTATGTTTAGTAGAGACGTGGTTTCACCATGTTGACCGGGATAGTCTCGATCTCTCGACCTTGTGATCCACATGCCTCGGCCTCCCAAAGTGCTGAGATTACTTCTTTCCCTTTCTCTGCACTAGAGTTGGGAGATATTATCAGAGCGCTATCAGAGAGCTAAGTTGATATAACAGGACAAAGTTGGTTCCATTTGTAGTGTAAGCTTATTCGTTTACATGAGCAGTGAGTCATCATTGTATAGGAGACTGTGTCACCACGGCAGCTAGGGTGACATAATCCCTGTCCGGAAGCTGCACTGTGGTTTGAAACCAGATATGTATTCATCAAAACTGCTTTAACTTGCAAAGTTTTTAAGTTTCTCTTATTTGCGCTTCTAATATATAGCATAAAGTAAGATAGGCCTGTAATCTCCTGTAAATTTTGCCTGATATATAAAAGAAGAAATTTTCGTGTTTCTCTATAACTCAGCAATCTCCAAATAACTAGGTAGAATAATATGCATTATTTTTCAAACTTTAAAGATTTTTATTTCTATTTCCTCTAATTTCAAGGGTGTGATTTGTATCTGGTCTTGTTGATACATGCATTTTGCTCAGATAACAACTGGATTTTTTTAACTCTCTAAAAAAATAGATTATTTTAAAATCAAGGTGGAAGGAGTAAGAGGTGATTGATTACTGTAACCAATATCATGCCTGACTCATTCTCCACATTATTTAATTTAAATCTTCCAACCAGGAGCTAAAATAGTCAACTTTTTAATCTTCTCTATATAATGAAAATGAAGGGAAAAATCTATTTATTTTCTCATTGCTTGTGCTTTTCTTGCTCACCTGCTGCTTTCCTATACTTGTTTCTTGTTTATACCATCACATTTTTTATTCCTGAGTCACCCGACCTGACTACTATTTGTCACAGTATCTTCAGTTATCACACGGGTTTTACCCAGTCCTAGGTTCTGCTGCCCTTCTGCGCAGCCGGTTCAAAGCTCACAACTATGGAAAGTGAATTCTATTTGTTTGGTAGCCTTTGCTCTTACTTTATTTTACCTTAGTTCTCTCCTATTGCCTAAGTTTTTGAAATCATTTTCTTCTGACATTTGATTTGGTTGATTTTTTTCCATCCTTTCTTTAGGTGTCCTTCACTACTTCCAGTTAGACTTTCCTTTTTCTTTAAATGTCAAACAAAGTCTTACTTTTTCTTGTGAACACAGTCAATGACCCTCAAACTTGATGTTTATGTTCATTTGATCCAATACAATAAATGTAAGGATCTTATTTAACACACACACACATACACACTGCATTCAAATATATCAGTGTAAACAACTGTGGCTCTCTTGCAGAAGCACGACGGCCACTTCACAGTCATCCAGCTGGTTGGAATGCTCCGAGGCATCGCATCGGGCATGAAGTATCTTTCTGATATGGGTTATGTTCATCGAGACCTAGCGGCTCGGAATATATTGGTCAATAGCAACTTGGTATGCAAAGTTTCGGATTTTGGTCTCTCCAGAGTGCTGGAAGATGATCCAGAAGCTGCTTACACGACAACCGTAAGTTTATACGCCCTTTCCCAACATAGTTTGTTTGCTTTTATTGTTTTTAATGTTATTAGAGTAATTCTGTTTCTAGCTTTCTCATTTTCTGCTTGTATTCCATGGCAAATTTAACATTATTATTTAATTGAGAAGTATTCGTTTTACCCAGGTGCCTAGTTTATAAAAACAACAACAAAAGAAAAAGAAAAACTTTTCATGCTTGACTGTTTTCTTTCTTTCATTCCCTGGGACTTTAACGTCATGCTTAATATCCATTTTATGGCTGAATGTTATGACATGCGCTGAAGTATCTTTGATGCTTCAGTAATTTTTTTTAAATGGAGTTTTGTGTATGTAAACAGTGGGATTAATTACTAACTCAATAACAGTGAGGAACAAGTGATTATGAAATTTTTTTTCCAAACGTTTGTGAATGGAATGATCGGATCCTACTCATAATGGACAACATAGATTTCTCTGGGATGTATAAGTATACTCTAAACCTTTTCCTGAATGATACTTGAGGAAATGTGAACTGAAATGCAAGTTTAAAACTTTAGAACCAAACTGTCATCCACAAATTCTATCACTTCAATTTGTCCTATCAATAGCATGTATATTTATGACTACCCTAAACCAATTCATTTAATTTATCTCTTTGGTTATTGTTTTGAGAAATTTTGTCTCAAAGTCTGTTGTGCTATCTTCAAGCTAATAATTCATAAAATTATATTCTGTTATTTTTAAAACAAACCTTCACCATTAACTCATCTGACAGTCAGTTTCAATGAAAAATAAGTCAGTAAAACTATTCAAAATATTTTTATGATATTCTCATTTTCTGACTTTACACATTATTTTAAAAGATGCAACCAACCCCATTATTGAGTTCTATTTCACGTCTATGCATTTTTTTGAAACTTTGCTCTATTCCATTACTCCAGAATAAAATGCAGGTTTAATATTGTGTATGGAATATTTTATGCCTTACTATATTTGCTTTGTAGAAATGTTCTCTATTAATTTACCAATGATATTTTTTACATATTCTTCAACAAAGAAATAGTTCTGAGGAACATACTCTCTCATTGTCTGATATACTAAGTAACATTGTAGCAGTATCTATTGATCTTTTAATTTGACCAAAAAGCTTCATAAATATAAAAAAATCCATCAATTCTGAAACGGTTTGTTCAGTTTAGAAAAAGCAATATTTTTAACTCCATTTTTCAATTGGGAAATATAATTATTTTCATTTTTCTCAAGGTCTTTATTTTCTTTTATATTTATAAATTTATAACTTAAAACAACTTTTGACATTATAGAAAAATGAATATAAGATTTTTCCATTAAGCATATTTTTTCCAATGCTGAAGAATAATGTTTAAAACTGTTACATATTATAAAATCTAATATTTATGAAAATTGCAACAAATACAATCTACTAAAAGAAGAAAATATGATGGGAAATCACTGCTAGACCCTTTGGCAGTAAGCCTATATAGACAGACTTGAAATTTAATGAAATAATATTTAACTACTTTTTAAAATGGTAAGCCTATAACTAAATGTAAGATACTGAGGAAATTAGCAGATAACTTAAATTTTTATGCATATGTAAGTTTCATTACATCGAATTCAACATCCAGACTCGAGGCATTTTCTGTCTTATGTGGTTATAGAGAGTAAGAGGCCTATGACAGTGTTACTTAAAATTTAGATTGAACCACGGACTTAAATAACAAATTAGGTAACCAGAATATTAACACTCTAAAAATTGCCTTTGAAAAGCTGTAGATTATGTCTTGATTAAGAAATAAGTCTCTGAATTTAGAAGGTATCAATTAAACAGCAAATAATATAATCAAGTTCTTTTTTAAGTCTCAGAACTACCTGACTGTTCAGAGGATTGACTTTATAATGAACATGGACATTCCATACTTAAAGTAGCAAAGCTCTTGCCTCTAAAGACTTTGTACCTCGATAGGGTAGAAGGCTCATGCTGCCTTGCAATTTAGTACATTAAGTGTTGTCACAGAGTTCTAAAAAGGAAGTATGGAAGTACCAGAAAGCAGAAGTCTGAAGAAGGTTTCACAAAAGGACAACATTTGAACCACATCTTAGGAGAGTGTATTAGGCTGACAGTTGGAGGAAAGGTAGTCCAGATGGAGGAATGAGAAGGAGAAAAGATGTAGAAATGCAAAAAAGTGAAGGGGCATCTTGATGAAAATCTGGGGCCACAAGCAATGGAGGGGCCAAATTCCTGGAATAATTGTAAAGGTACCTGAGTGACACTCTTACGTTTTTGTATAGCAACTAGGATATACAACTAGGCACTGACTTATTTAAACAGGAAATAACAAAAATAGATCCATGTCTTAGAAGATATTATTGACAATAGTGTGAAGAAAGGAAGGAGAGTTTGAAGGACAGGAGGACTAGTAGCAGGAAGACCAGTTAGGCATTATTAAAATAAAGCAGAATGGTCATATGGCTTTAATTAGGGCAGTGACAGTTGGAATAAAGAGGAGGGGTGATAAATAACATAAATTAACATATCTTGTATGTTACATGTTTCTTATGATTCAATAACTAATTGGATATGAATTGTAAGGAAAAAGGAGGATTTAGGGATGGCACTAATATTTCTAGATGGAACAACTGATTAAATGGCAGTGCTGTTAATCACAACAGAGAATCCCTGTTAGAGATGACCTGGCTAATGGTATTAGATTACAAAGCAAAATTATACCAGAAGGTCACAGATATTCTGCCTCAAATGTGAAATGATGCCAAATGATCACTGGCATTCGTCAAAACTTTGTTTATAACTTTTAGAGCTTTATATGAATGTACTTAGCCTCCAAATACTTTTCACATTTTCTGTTAAAAATAATGATAGAAACCTGTATAGTAAAAATGCATGTGAATTCAAGCAAACCCTGTATAATAAAATACACAGGAAAAATGCTCATTTATATGAAAAGGATTCTTTGTTTTATAAAAACATCTGCATGAAAATAACTTTAAAGAGAAAACTCCCTTGATACATATAGATTTTTATGTCTAATTCAGCTTTTTTAAGTTGTATCTATATATAACTTTCTTGGAATATATATTTTACCTTAGATGATTTTGATTTTTTTTTCTTTTGCTATATAACTATAATTGCTATTTTCTCATTATTTGTGAATGTTTTTTATAGTCTGTGTTAGGGAAGATTTGGAGGAAAGAGAGGCTGTGAGAGCTTAAAAACAGGAAGACATCATGGATAAAGGTTGAGTTTGTGGGGAAGATTTGTAACCTTCAAAAAAAATATATCCTTAGAACAGTATGCTACATGGAAGCTAACCCTTTCTAATCAAAATAGGGGCAGAATAGACATTTTCCATTAAAATGACTTCGCCAATTTAGAGAGCCACAAATCACAATGAAGAGCAGTCAGAACTGGTTAAAGAAGACAGTCTAGAAAGATGGCATGAGCAGTACTAGCCCAGCTCTGGCTACGGTTTGGGACCGGTCCTCATGCGGAAGAGAAGCAGAGGAGCCGTGGGAGCCAGAGGGGCCAGACCAGAAAGCAATGTGACAAGAGAGATTGCCCTCCAACAGTGAGTCTTTCAGAGCCCCATTTAAAAGTCATATACGTGTGATATAGAAGACAGTATTATCCACATTTCAAAATACATGAAAGTAAATAAAAAGTGAGGTTTAAACATAAGTAGAAATTCAAATATTGTCTTCTTCAACGTGAGTGTCTTTCATGCCGTGCTCTAGGTCTAAGACGTACTCATTCGCCGTGCACTTTATACAGTTTATTACAGTGCTACCATATTTCAGGCACTATTCTTTGGAAGGTCGATTGTGAAGCAGTGTCTCTAATTATCAGTCCCAAAAAAGAACTCCCGTTCCATGTGGAAAAGAGCAAAGATCGTCCCTATGCCAACCACCAGAAATGGGCGTCCATATATACCACTGCATCCTGGGCCACTGTGTAGGTCCACCACGCACTGGTTATCTATTTGCCTAAATCCAGTGAAAGACAACATATTCACAGGTTATGTGAAAGGGGTTTTTTTCTTGTAGATAACTAGCAAGGGCCAGAAGTCTTGGATCCATTGTGGTGAATTCCCCCAAGGCTGAAGAAAGCTGAACAGGAAAGACGTAGTCTTGATGTGAGTGCCCCACTTAGGCCCCGCTGGGTTATATACCTCAGAGGCCACATGACATCCTGGGAAAAGCCGTAAAGGACATCCTGCTTCCAGGAAAGAGAGGAACAAAACTCAGGTTCTGTCCCATGAAGCTCCTTCCTAACTCAAACTATTCAATTTCCTTGGAGGGACAGGTTTCAGGCAGTTCCTCCCTATCGGAGGATATTGTATTCCTAGGACATTCTACAGTTACTCTTCTCAACTACCAGCAAGAAAGGGAAGAGAACTGGATTGGTCCAAGGCTACTCAAAGAACCAAAAATAAAGGGATTATTGAGAACAGATAAATAGCTACACAGGAGTAAGACCAATGAATAAGACCGAGAGTAACCAAATAAAGCATATAATAAAACTCATATGCTGTACGGACACCAAGAATGGACAGCTCAGCATGAAAGGCAACAAGAGTTGTAGCAGAAGTTTTTTCTGGTATAGCATGTAAACTGTCAACTCAAATATATCAAGCCTTTTAAAGGAACTTTAAGGTCTGATAATGGCATAAAAACCAAGAAATGTGTATCATGGGCCATGACAGAAGGAAATAAATGCACAAAAATAGGATTAGATGAGGACTGAGGCCTCGGTTTTACATGCCAATTCTATGACAAGCTTACGAAGCACTTAGGAGAGATTAGTGAATGATTAGGTCCACACCTAAGGATACATTTATAATTAGTGTTATGTGGCTTAACTAATCTGCATAAAAGTTACTGATAGTTCACATTGTTTTTATCTGATTACATGGTCTCCTGTCTGGTTATAATTAGGTGCTAAGAAATCACTGCCTTTTCTGAATTTAATACACATT